GTAGCTAAGGTTTTTGGCAGAAATTAATATGTAGATAGGAAGAGAAACTGGGTTTTTATCAATCCCTTCTTCGTACACTTTTATACTAAATTAAAGCCCCACCCCTAGAAATTACTAAGGCAAAAGGGAAAATGGCTGATAGATCTCTTCACGTTAGCACGAGTAGGGTTCAAATTGATGGTTCGCTGACAAGATGTATCACAAGAAGAAGTCTCACTTTTAGTTAAAAAAGGATGGAGAATGGTGCTAAGCTAAAGGGCCCGATGATCACCACGACGCATCCTCACAAGGGACGATTATAGGGTGACTTTTAAATAGTACTCAGCTGAACACATAAACGTAAACAGCTAAACCGATTTTATCAATTAAAAACCTGATTTCCAAAGTATATAAGGATAGGGGTTAGTAGTAATTCTATGATCTGAGTACAGAATAGATTAAATTTCATACAATAAGCTGAAGCCCATAAAATTAATTTAAAAAAATATGCCTTTAGGGTTCCCGTTGACCTTTACTCTGGCAAGTGCGCAGATTGGTAGACCAAAAATGAGCCTGAGTGAGAACTCTCTCACTCCATTGTCAGTTGCGGTAATTGTTATTTCATAGCCTATCCCTGACAGAACAGGTTCGAAGATAAATCCAATAACGTGCAACCAGTGAGATGAGGTAAAGTTCTCGTTGAGTCGGAAGTTACTATTCCTGGGCGCCGCGGCTCGGTGGCTATGTATGCCCAAAGCCAAAAGGTTACCAGAATTTCTTAAATCACGAGGGAATGAAGCTGAAGGCTAAGGTCTTTGTTCATGATAAGCCAGTGAAATTTCGATAAAAATTAAAAGATAATTGAGTTGCCCAAGAAATGTGACAAATTCATGGAGAGAATTGGGAGTTTTCATACGTACAAATAAAGAAAAAAGCGGTACGTCTACCATAATGTAAACTGGCCCGCAAGATTTGTATTGGAATATGTATGGAATATAAGGACAATAAATAAGAATAAATCCAAGCTATTCTATAGTTTGTCATCTAGAAGTAACAAAACTGATCTTCAGACTGGTTTTCATTAAATTGCTTGTCTGGATTGTCCTAGTTCATGCATCAGTAAAATATGACGACACATAAAGGCAAGAAATCCAGAGCGCAGGACAGCCAGCAATACTCGTCGGGTATACAGATCTGAGTTGGCATACCATCAAGTTATAATAGATCACGGGGTAGACTTTGGCAGGGTGAAAAGACGATCCGAATGCGAAAATGGTTTTTTAAAAAGAAAAATTATAAATGAAATCCACAAGAGCGATGATGAACATAAAACGGGAGCAGATATTACGTTTGTAAGACATCTTAGCGAAGCTAGGCAGAGCAGACATACAGGTGTGTATTAGATAACGAACTAGGGGGACATTTTATTATTGAATATAAGTTCGTTATATTCAGATATACCTGCTTTGGTAATCAGTTGTAAATCATATAACTTATCAATACAAGACAATCTGCTGACGGTTAATACATCAGTCTGAAAAGCTGTCAAGTTACAGGTATAAATTTTACTCGAGATAATGTATGAGACAAATATTTGAGCAAATAATTTCGAGAGTTGACTGTGTACTCACCAATGAATGAAATAAGAGTGAAGCCTTCAATTTTTCAAAACTTTACTTAAGGCCAAGTAAGGTGTAATGACCGTGGAACACGAAGGATGAAAGCGGTGTCTGGGGCATATTTTTTGCCAGCATATAGGACTGTCAATCTGATTAAATTACTACACAAGACCTCTTTTGCTTGAAAGGATTATCTTTTGGTGGGTATAGAAGTTGATCAGACTTAGCGTTTGCGTAACAATAATTGATTATGTCTTGGATGCTAACACTTAAATTAATTCTATTTTCCATAGAGAGGTTTCGTTTGAGGCAATCTACCTCAAGCTGTTTCTGCTCGATTTCTTTGTGACGTGGGTTAAGATTATCTGAGTCAATATTCACAGACATGATTGAGTAGATAAGCAGGAGGGAACGAGAAGTGAAAGAAGCGCTTGCTTTTGTGAGTCTCGACAAACACGACTTACACCACCAAATTTAACATATTTTGTATACATATATTTATACTTAAGTAAAATTTAATTGTCTTTTAATAATTTTTGGCGTAATAGTAAATAAATTAATCGGTGTGGGATCCCAGGATATTTTTGCTCAGATGACTGTCAATGCTCACCCGCCAGTCCAAGTCAAAGCCAAGGCTTGGGAACGAATATCCCTTAATTTCCCCTAGAATTATTTCATATCATTTAGATATGTGCATAAATTCTTCATACCTCCGTCCTTGCTATGTGCTTCTGGATAAAAGGTTTGCCATGTACTCTTTCACGTTTTAGCCCTGTCGCCTTGTATTTTCGAACACAAGACCAGGCGAAGTTTCTCAAGAATGTAGGCCTTGCCTCAAAGTCTTTTTTAACTGGTCAACACTTATTTAAATTACGTAAAAACGGTTTGAAAAGGAAAATTGCTCCCAACGAATATAGTTATATATGCTTTAAGCTTCTTACCCACTTTCTCTCCAACCTTCGAGATGAGAAGCTTCGTGCTATTAGTCACAAGGACTGCTTCGTTTGTATTAAGAGAATCATGAGTTTTTCCTTGCCAAATGCCCGAATGGTTGCTAAGCCTTCGTACGTTTTGCTGACACATCCTGATTGCATAGAGGCTAGCGCTACTTGCGATTCACCGTCAGAGCGTATTTTGGACTGTAATTTTGCTCCTGGAATTAATGAAGAAGTTGTCGCAGCCGTCCCTAGCATCGACTTGCACCGCGTTCCTCTTGAATTGCTGCAGTTTGTTTCTAGGCCAACTATATTGCATGGCAAAACTTTCAGGTACATTTTGTCAATAAAATTCACTTTTAGACAAATGAATGATGCTTTTTATCGGTCACGCTGATAGGGGTATTTAACTTCTGCACGCTGGTAAGTCATGGGTTACGTCTATTATTAT